TACCGCAAAAAAAAAAAAAAAAAAAAAAAAAAAAAAAAAAAAAAATTTGTTAAATACAAGCCCTGGGTGTTACACAACTGCTGACTCAATTTCAATCTGTCCTGGGTTGGGAATCAGAAAGAAGATTCATAGGACACAAGATATACCCAGTTCACTTAAATTCAAAGCACACAAACCAGGTATCAATAGTATAGCATTAAGCTAAACAGCAATGACATCAGGAGTTCTTGAGACATCTCAGGTGCAGATGCTAGGCCCTCGGCCTCGGGAGGAATCTTTCATTGCAAGAGATGAAACTGAAGTGCACGGGGTTCACTTCAATTTAGGAATGAAGCCCCTCTCATCCCTCACCTAACTTTTATACTATTCCAAATAACTCTTCTTGGAGAACAAAGCACTTAGCTTCTCTAGGCCTCAGTTCCTTACCTGGAAAATAACAATTTCTGACTAGATGACAGGTATATTTGCTCTGTCTAGTTAAAGGTCTACGATTCTAAAATAAGCTGCAGTGAAAAAATAGACTAAAAATGCTTTGATAAAAGTTTAGAGTGTTACACATATGCACAGCATAGGTTGAAAAGGCCAATAAGGGAAAGATAACATCTGGTCAAAAGATTCTAAAATTTCCCATCATTCTTCTGAACTATTCATGCTTTTTAAGGAGCTTTCTTTGGAGCTGCCTATCAATTGCATACCATACAAAAGCATTCTTATAGAATACACTGTAATATTGCTCACCAACCTCAAAAACTCACTTTCTTTATTTGTAGCTAATAGATATATAGCAAAGAGCCGCATGTCATTAATGACAACTTAAGTTATCTTTTGGTTCACGGTTTTCCATGGATTATTAATGGCATAACACATTAATTCTTCTTTCAGGGGTGACCTTTACAACACCATTAATGCTCACAGCTTTTATCCAACTACATTATTACTCATTACAGTTTCAGCTTTCAACATCTGCATTTGTTGAAAAGAGAAAAGTAAATTGTAGTGGCATCAAATCCTTGGAAAATGTGAGGGATGTGTATGTGGCGGAGGGACATTTCAGGGAAGAAAAATAAGAGAAGTTTTAGTAGTGGAAAAAGTCAGATGATAAATGTCATTAAATACATTCTTGTCTTTCTAAAATATTTTGTCATATTTAATCCTTGGAATGCTGAAGTAAAAAATCCTCACATGACAAAAAATGCAAATATATTAGTTATTCCCTTAGTTAAATATTCCAGTTCTGGGGATATTACAAAAGTAGCTCATATACCAACACTGTGATATTTATGAGCTTTCATGTCTATTATGCAAGTGAATCATTCTTGCCAAATAAAATATCTTTTTCTTTCTCATGCTTTGGACATGAAAGCAAATCTTATCTTGGTGTCCATTTAGGATGTTGAGCAGAGTTAACAGAGAGATCATAACAGAATGGTGCACATGATAAAAAGAACACATATGCCCCAAACCATTTTCAAACTTCTCAAAACCTCAGCTTTCGCTGTTTCTTTTCTCACTGCTGCCCCACTGGCCCAAACTGACTTCCTCTTTGCAAATAATCTGGAATTCAACGTTGTAGAGATAGAAGCATTTGAAATACACTCCTTCAGCTTTCCTTCTGTCCATCCCACAATTTCTCTGTAACTTTACCTCTTTTTTCCTCATTTCCTTCAGTCTTAGAGAAAAGAGGGGGCATTTTTTCTTTCCAAAGGTAATCCTCTCTCATTTCTTCTTGCTCTGTCATCATGTATGTACTCTTTCATATCTATAGATCTCTCCAACTCACCTTTGTTTATATATATATATATACACATATGATTTCCTATTCTAAAACCTGCCTCTACTCAGCCTTCTCAAAATACGATCCCTTCTCAACCTCAAGGTTACAAAAAGACTGACCCATATATCAGCTGCATTTTCTGTCCTCGTGTTCTTCAAATCCTTATAACTGATGTTCTGCTAAACCATTCTACAAAATCTCTCTGTTACAGTCTACGTGGCCACAACCTCCAGCTAAATCCTAAGGCATTTCTTCTTCATGTTCTTTAACTTTTCTACGGAATATGACACCATTGAATAACCCCTCCTTTTTCAAACTTTAATTTGTCCTAGGCAGACAGGCCATTGCCTTATCTTCATTCTTATTCTAAGATCCTCAATTGCTCTTCATCAGCTTTCCCCCTAACAAAAGTGTGGTGCTTTAAAAATATGTTCAAAGATACTTTGATATTCCTTCCTTCAGAGTTGGAGCCTAATTCCCCTTTCTTTGAGTTGGGCTGGACTTAGTGATTCTCTTATAATGAAAAGAATAAAGTAGAGCTGACTGTGTGTGACTTTGGAGACCAGATCATAAAAGGCAGCATGGCTTTCTCTCTGCTCTCCCTCCTGGACCACTCACTCTGGGGAAAGTAAGCTGTCATGCTATGAGCAGCTCTATGGAAAGACCCACGTAGCAAAGAACTGAGGTCTTCAGCCAACAGCCATGTGAGTAAGTCATCTTGGAAAAGGATTGTCTATCTCCAGTAAAGTCCTAGGCCCTGGCTTCCATCTTGACTGGAACCGTAAGAGAGACCCTAAGCCAGGACCACCCAGCTGAGCTGCTTCCAGATCCTGACCCTTAGAAGCTATGAGATAATAAATGTTGGCTGTTTTAAGCTGGTGAGATTTAAGTTAGTTAGTTACACAGTAAGAGATAACTAACACAGCAGGTAATACCTGTGATTCTTTACCCCACTTCATTTCTTACCATATACTTCTTACATTCTTATTTGCTCTGATGGCTTCCAGAACCTCATCACGGAATAATTTCCATGTCTAAAATTCTAGCACCTCTTTCACATATCAGATTTGCATTAACAATGTCCTCCTGAACTTCTCTATCTAAATGGCTTCTTAAGTTTCAAATTCAGCACATACTGAATTTTTATGTTTACGTCTTCCCCCAAACCTGCTTCCACTCTGGTCTTCTCTTTCACAGTTCAGGGAGGCACTATTCTGTCTATTTTATAAATTCAAAATCCCAGACTCTTCTGTCTCCATCTTGAACCTCACCCGGTACATTCCATTGTGGATAAGTTACATCAGTTCTTCTTTAATGATACCTCTTCAATCTATTCTCTCCTTTGTTTTTATCATTGCTTATTTCAATTTCATGTAACTTACTCTTGTCCTATGCTAAAACAATGACTTCCCTGATTCCAGCCCCTTTCTGCTGTCAATACTCTTCTTAAAGTTCTAATCAGATGGGTGTCTGGAGAAAAAGTCAAAAATTTCTTAGGATAGCATCAAATCAGATTCCATCTACCTCTTTCAGTTTTAACTCTGATCACTTTCCACTACACTCATTCTATATGTTAGCCAAATCAGTGCATTTCTCAAAAATATGATATTTTACTCTGGGTTCTATTTTACAGCCTAACATGCCTAGGGATGCATCTCTTCTTCAAGGCTCCATTTGAATTAGCCTATCCTTCAACCCTCCCAAATAGAATCTAATACTTTCCTCTTCTTGACTCTAGCATTGTTATCTGTGCTCTGGAATAGCACTCACAATAGCTGATTTGTACTATTAAGATACATGACTTCCCCCCAACTAAACCCTAGCCGGGGTTTGTGCTAGCCGGTCTGTGCTAGCTTCCTCATAAAACTGTACGAAAATAATAAGCATCAATAAATGTGGGTTGAAGTAAGCATTGGGTTGGCCAAAAAGTTCGTTCGGGTTTGCTGTAAGATGTTATGAAGATCCCAAACGAACTTTTTGGCCAACCCAACATTTACAGTCTAATTTACATGTTACTAAACTAAAACTATTGGAATTTCTTAAAAGCTAGCTTATAGAAGCATTTTCTAGTGTTTGCTTACTCTACTAAAATGACAAATTATGGAGAAGCAAAGAGACCGACTTTTTATAATACTTTGGTGTGTACAAGTTAAGTTTCAAGCAACTCGGAACTGAGAAAAAATTGACATCCTGATGGTTGACTGCTGATCCAGGCAGAATTGTATTTCATCATCATGTATACTTTGTACACATCACACAAAATGGAAATAAATTTAAAGGACTGAAAAGGCAAGTCACCTAACAACAACAATCTGGAACCATTGCTCTCTGTGAATAGTCAGGCCTCTTTTTCATAAACTCAAGAACATCAGTTATATCAACAAACATAACAAGTTCAATTAGATTCTCAGGGGGACATTATAACTTGGACTTCAGTTACAAATTTCAATTGCATGTTTAAAACAGACCTATGAGGTTCACCATATTGAAACTCTCCTATGGAACTAAAGCCATGCAGAGGGTATGCGTGATTTGCCATTAAAAGATGCTTTCATTCAATTGCCATAAACAGAAAATCAGCAAGAACAAAAGAAACAGAACTTACCTATTGTGCTAACTCTGGCTGAAGGACTAGCTAATGATGCTGGGACAGAGGCTTTGAGGGGGCCTGCCCCACTGTTTATTCTCAGAGCTGGCATATGGGGAGAGGTGGGTGATGTGGGTGATTTGCCATCAGAGGTCTTGGGTTTAGCTGATAGGTTCAGTGGCTGTGCCACTTCATCCTGCAATGATCATTAGAACATGAGCTGTGATAAGGAAAGTCTGATTAAAAATGCCTAGAAAAACACAGGTATACTGCCTGTCATTTCCCATCAAATACTCTACCAGTGATCTTAACATTCAGTCTGAACATTACAGTGTTTGGTTAGCTGTCAACAACGGCACTTTCAACTACATATCATAAAAAACCTTTGGTATAAGAGAAAGTACATGTGCACTCAACTATCCAGAAATCATAACTGATGACACCTGTAAAAATATTCTTAAAGAAGATATTATTTGTACTATTCATTTTTATTGAGAGACAATGCATAATTCGCATGAAATATGATGTAGATTATTTTTTTTCAATCTCCAAAGAATAGGTGTTGAGTCCCAAGCATCTTTGGACCCTGGTGCTTAGCGTACCCAGAACATCCCATCATGGAGGAGCTAAATGGTGTGTACCTCTGATTAGAACTGTTCTCCAAATTAAATACAAAAAAGAAGAAAACTTTCTAACTTTCTTAGAAAATAATCTTTTCTCCTAGGTTTCACAGAAACACTTTAGGGTTTCATCTAAAAATGAACATAAACATAATTAGCATTATATTAATATATACTATTTATTTATATGCAACACTGTTCTAAACACTTAACATTACATTTTTAAAAATCCAGATTTGTTTTCCAAATTTTCCTTACAGTGCACTACATGGTAGTATGAAGAGGTGCATGTGGTCAGCTCAGCATGTATGGCAATTTCCAATTGTTCTAGGCTTGAATAGGTCAAGTTTACATAGTTTACATTCTATTTTATACCTTTCTACACTAGCTCTTATGTAAGTTCATATGTAAAATTTATGGATACAATTATCACTAAAATGTCTATCACAATATATAAGATCAGATAATCTTAACATTATATTACTTTTCTTTTACTGCAAAGAGAGTTATTCTTTTCTTGTGCTCTAAAATTGGAACATTGTGTCATTTGTACTTTACTGTTTACCTTATATCCAATTTTACGTAGGTATTATTGGAGAACAAAAATTTAGTATCCACTTAGGTTCACCTTCATGAGTTAAGAACATAAAATATCTATCAGTAATAGCAGGATTACTTGTTGAACGTGGAACAATTTAGAATCAAATGGTGTGATGTGGTGACATGGAAACATATTAATTAATGTGTATAAAATTTGATGTATATATTTACCCCAAAGTGTTGAAATAAGTCACTTTACAAAAGTGGTAAAAAATGGTATATAACATGATATTTCAAATTTATATTTAAAAAAATGATTTACTGTTATTTGATTCCATGGTTAGCTTCACTTAGGAAACCTATGAACAGGCCAGGGAAAATTACACTTGAACATTTTTTTTCAATTCTATTTTCTGTCTCAGAGAAAATAACAATTATTTGAAAACCCATGAGGTAATTCAAATGGCAATCCGGGATCATGTTAGATGCATAATAAATTATTGACCATGATATCAAATTTATATGAATTCACAGAATCTTGGAAGGAAGTAAAATAATTCCATGACTGGCTCAATATACAATTTTGAACTAAGCATTTTAAAAACTACAGGGCAAAAGTCACTTCCAGATCTTTCAACATTTAGTTGAGCTAGTCAGCCATAATCCTTATATATGATGGCAGATCCCCAGGAATATTGTCTTTTTTTCCTATACTCCAGTATGGATGAGAGCTTCTCAAAACGTGATCCTTGAACTGGTACCGTCAGCACCACCTGGGAATTTGTTAGAAAAGCAAATTCTCAATCTTAGAAACTTTGGAGGTAGGTTCCAGCAACCTGTGTTTTAACAAGCATTCCCAGGTGATTCTGATGCATACTAACATTTCAGAGAATATTGCCTTATATAGTATAAAGGGAGATTATTAAAAATTTTTATTTACTAGGCTTCAAAACCCTTTAAAAATCTTCCTTAGGGCTTCCCTGGTGGCGCAGTGCTTGAGAGTCCGCCTGCCGATGCAGGAGACGCGGGTTCGTGCCCCGTTTCGGGAAGATCCCACGTGCCGCGGAGCGGCTGGGCCCGTGAGCCATGGCCGCTGAGCCTGCGCGTCCGGAGCCTGTGCTCCGCAAATGGGAGAGGCCACAACAGTGAGAGGCCCGCATAACGCAAGGAAAAAAAAAAAAAAAAAAATCTTCCTTAATATAAGGAGGTAACATTAAAAATATGTAATGTTATCTCAATCTTTAAAATTTTATCAGAACATATCATATGTTAATAACAATAAATGAAAAGGTATATGCATAATAAACAAAATGCTACTGAGATTCAGTGGGCCGATAAGGATTAGAACTCAGATTTTCTCCCCCTTATTCAGCCTAAATATCCTGTCATATCAGAGCTTTATCAACTATTTACTATGCAACTGTAAATATTCTAGGCACTTTTTCCCTTATGAAAGTTGTACCTGCTTAGTACTTTCTATATGAAACTACAGGCTTTTGTCATGATAGCCTGAAAACTTCTTTTGACAGCATCAAAACTCTTAGAAAAGTTTTGAGGGGATACTTGGAGAAATTACAGGTCGCTGTTCCACTTGACTGTGCAGAAAGAAAGGAACATATTCCCAAAGTTGCAACAGAGATTTATGAGTACAGAGGAAATCGAGTGTGAGTGTGTGTACTGGAGGAGAGGTGGTGTCCATGAAGATGATGCAGACGTGGGTGCTGATGGGGTGAAATGTCATACGCTTAGCTTTAAGCATTAAGAACTATTACATGCGGTTGAGTCCGCCTGCCGATGCAGGGGACACGGGTTCGTGACCCGGTCCGGGAAGATGCCACATGCCGCGGAGCGGCTGGGCCCGTGAGCCATGGCCGCTGAGCCTGCGCGTCCGGAGCCTGTGCTCCACAACA